CAGGGCTACAAAGCCGAAACGGAATGTTTTATCCTTGCTGCACATAATCAGTGCTTGTTAACTAGAAATTATCAAGCATACATATTAAAATATTGTGTTAGCCCCAAATGCAGATTCTGTGACAATTACCCAGGAACAATTGGTCATTTTGTATAAGGTTTCACGGTTTTGGCACCCAATGAATATAAAAACTGGCATGACAGTTGGTCAATATCTGCACTGGAAGATCTGCAACTACTACTGGAAGGAAACTCAAAGAAATTGGTATGAACATCACCTAGACCCGGTTACGGAGATAATCCCTGTTACAATTTTATTGTTACTACACAATACAGACAGACAGAAGAATCAAAGCTAACCGCCCAGACATTGTTATTAAAGACCACAAACAAAAAATGTGCCTCCTTATTGATATGGCAGTCCCTGCAGACTGCAATGTATCTTCGAAGATCTTCAAAAAACTGTCAAAATACAAGGACCTTGAAATCGAAATTTCAAAAATGTGGCACATGAGAACATCAACAATCCCTGTTGTAGTTGCAGCCCTAGGATTGGTTGGAAAAGATTCCAGTAGACTAGTTGAAGGGATTCCTAGAAGCCCATGCCCAAAGCAATAAAAAAAAAATTGTTCTCGCGAGTACAGCCTACACATTACGAAGGGCTTTATCGATGATTTTTTTTTTTTGTCAATGGAAAATGTCATGATGCCATTTCTAAATTTAGGTCCCTGGGCAAGACCCGGAAAGAAATGTGTACACACCAAAAATCAAAGGAAATAAAAATAATAATAATAATAATAATAATAATAATAAGAAGAATAATAATAAGAAGAAGAAGAAGAAGAAGAAAAATTAATAATTTAGCTTAATTTTCATAATAGATAAATAAATAGACTGACAACAATAACAATATATATATATATATATATATATATATATATATATAGTTGTATCCTCTGACTCATGTTTGTTTGTTATCGCACTCTTCCAAGGGTTTTGGCGATCGACAACCATAAACATAAATGTTCTGAAACTACATTAGCCAAGTTACCTGGATAATTATATTTCATTTTGATCAAAGAGGTTCTCCACGGGGCACATCCCCAGTTATTTTTCCCCTTTAATATAAATTAAATTTCAATTTGCGCGAGGGAATGTCTCCTAAGCTACGTGGAAAAGCATATTTCATTTTGATCAAATATCTTATATCCCCCTACTGAATTTTCTTTTCCCTTTGATTTAAATTTAATTTAAATGTGTACAAGAAAATGATTCCTATCCAAAATATACAAGGAGAAAGCCAGAAGATGTGGACGTCAAGTTGAGCAAGGAATCGCTAATTGTGCCTTACAATAAATATTTTTGCGAAGATTCAACTGTCAGATAAATGTTGAAATCTACTCATCAGTTCATGCAATTAAGTATTGCATCAAATACATATCAAAGGAATGAGATCATGCTGTTTTGGCAAACATACACCCAGTGAGTTTTTTTCACTTTGATTTAAATTAAATTTAAATTTGAACAAATGAATGAATCCTATCCAAAATATAAAAGGAGAAAACCAGAAGATGGAGGTCACATCGGCAAGATGATTGAGTAATATTGAAATGCATCATTTTTCTCCACAAATTATAACAATGAGTTAAAATCAATCAACATTAAAAAAAAAATGTCTGACACGCAACAAGGGGCGAATAATTCGGCTAGCAATATTAATAATTAATATTAATAATGCCGGTATTTAGTAATATCTAATAATAATAATGCAACAGTTAAGAGAAGTGTGGGATTTAAGAAAATAAAAGAAAAACAATGTGTTTGACAATGTTAAAAATATCTCGACAGTTTGTCTTCTTCAAATTTTATCTTCATTTTTTTTTTTCGATTAAAAATTTATGAATCTACAAAAAATTATAAGTCCTGGTACAAATTTTACTCATCTTGTATTTAAAAAAAAACGGCTGTCCTGGAAGTGAAGGTGTCAAAATGAATGAAATGCTGCCAGCGTGAAGGTATGCAACAGATTTGTGTGTGGGCAGTATAAATGTTGCTCTACAGAAGGATGTTGACAATTCCACGGACGGGGCGCGCATGCAGCGAAGACCGAAGGAGAAAGTAAGCATGAAAATTATACTCTGATTCAGAAATATACTATATTCTATATATATTCTATAATCTATATACATTCTATCTTCTATATACACAGATTCAGAAATATACTATATGCTATATATATATATATATATATATATATATATATATATATATATATATATATATAATCTATATATATTCTATATTCTCAGATTCAGAAATATACTATATTCTATATGTATTCAACAATCTATATACATTCTATATTCTGTATACTCAGATTCAGAAATATTCTATATATAATCTATATATATTCTATATTCTATATATCTAGATTCAGAAATATACTATATGCTATATATATATTCTATAATCCATATATATTCTATCTTCTATATACACAGATTCAGAAATATACTATATTCTATATATATTCTATAATCTATATATATATTCTATCTTCTATATACCTAGATTCAGAAATATACTACATTCTATATATATATATATATATATATATTCTACAATCTATATATATTCTATATACTATATACCTAGATTCAGAAATATACTATATGCTATATATATATTCTATAATCCATATATATTCTATCTTCTATATACACAGATTCAGAAATATACTATATTCTATATATATTCTATAATCTATATATATATTCTATCTTCTATATACCTAGATTCAGAAATATACTACATTCTATATATATATATATATATATATTCTACAATCTATATATATTCTATATTTTGTATACTCAGATTCAGAAATATTCTATATTATATCTATATTCAACATTCTATATATATTCTATATTCTCAGATTCAAAAATATACTATATGCTGTATATATATATATATTCTATAATCTATATATATTCTATATTCTATATACTCAGATTCAGAAATATACTATATTCTAAAGATATTCAACAATATATATACTATATTCTATATACTCACATCTCTTTGGGTCAAGTCATTGGATTGGTCAACGTTTAAATCCACTGTGCCACATATCCTTGTGGACAGTACCTGACCATAACAGTGGTGAAAAAATAAACTTGCCACGGTGAGTTACTAAAAGAAGGTAACTGAAACCGGGATATCCAGAAAAGGCATGGCACGTGGAACTAGAATAATCTTCGCCGGTGGACGAAATAAAGGTTTTCGGTTCGAAATCCCAACGTATATCACCCGAACAAGCCCGGAGCTTACAACAGCCTAAACGTCATGAATATGATAATAAAGATCAGGACAATAGACCAGCCAATGTAAATAGCTATAATACATCATCTCAGAATTATAGACAGATATCAGAACAAACATGCTGCATTACTGCTATAGCTGAAGAGGATCGTTCCAATCGTTATTTTCCAGCCTTTTCAGGGTTCAAAAATAGCTTCTAATAGCTT